TCCAGAACGAGGAAGGGAGGGGAAGCCAAATGGGCCCTGCCTGGAGGGGGGGCTCCGAGGGGCAAACTTACCCCAGGGTTTAATTAGTTCTGGGGTTCCTTTCTCTCCCCCCCCCTTATTTTCCTAGGGAAAGTGAAGAAAGTTGCCTAAGTCTTTATTTGGGAGGGGGGGTGTTTTATCGTACTGTTTTTGCCTTTGTTTTCACAACAACCACCACCCCTCCTGCTCTAAAGAGGGTTTTTTTGGGGGGGGTTCCCCTCTTTAAAGCAGCCTGAGGAAGGGATTGAAAAAGGTGGGGGGCTGCTCTCTCTCTCTCTCTTTTAATGACAGCCCAATAGTGGGGGGGGGGGAAAGAGATCTGCTTCTCTTCAGCTGGGAAGGCTGTGCAGGGCCCTCTGAAAAGGGTGTGTGTTTGAGTGTGTGTGTGTGTGTGTGTTGTGGGGAAGGAATCAAGCTTTGGGTGGGGTGCTGTTTTACCCCACATAACCTCCTTTCTGGTACAGCCTGCCAGGTCTTATTGGGGTAACAAGTGGCCGGGCCCTGAAAGGCAAGTCTAAAAGGGAGGAAGTTGGCCCCCCAAGGAGTTTTGGAGCAGGCTTTCTTGGCATCCTTTGGGGTAGGAAGGAAGGGAGGGAAGTGGTCAAAAGGCTTCCCCCCCCCCTTCCAATCCGCAGTTTGTTTTTCTCGTTTCTCTGGAGGAGAATTGTTACCTTGTTTGCCCTCCTGTGGGTTTGGGGTGTCCTCATGACTTGAAAAGAGTTTGGGAGTTGTGAGGACTTGTGAGTGTGCCGGGTTGGAGAAAACTTGCCGCCGATGTTGTCTGTGCCCGGCTGATAACCGCCTGGACCCAGCCGCTGCTCGAAGTTGAAATGTGGTGTTCCTTCAGAACTGAGGCAAGAGCAGAATTTTCAGAGGGCTGAATCATGACGCTGAAGGCCTTCTCCCTTTCTGCTTGGCGGATTTTGGCCACCAAGGGCTCCTTGTGGGTCTTCCTCAGCGTGCTCTGATATGGATCTTATGGACGATTGGGAAGAACAGCGTTTTTAACAGAAATCGTTTGTGCCCCTTCTCTGGATTAAAGCTGGACCTTGAACTTTTGTGTATGGGAAGTGACAGTGACGTACCTGAAGTAACGAGTACAATGCAGATTGACTAAAAAGACGTCTCCTTGCCAAGGGCTCCAATGAGTGGCACACAGTCCGCAATCACGGACAGGTCAGTATGAAGAGAGTTTTTGTTTACCCTTTACCCTGATTGGACTGCTTGGAATTGGGTTGAATTAAAGTTTTAATCTCGTGGCACAAAGATTGATCAGGCTTCGCAAATGAGTTTGGAATGCACTTTTGGAACTGGCAAACCCAGTTTTTATCTGCCAACAATCAAATCATATGGATTCAGTTTGAAAAATGCTCTAGCCTAAGAGGGTTTTCAAGGCCATCAGTGTGTGGGTCAAAATGTATATTTAGCACTGCCATGGTGATGGAAGTTCCTGCTGGAAGTGTGTCTTTACCTTTCCTTCAGGGAAAGTATAGGCTTTGTAGAAGATTTCCACACTTTAGGTGCAAAAGCATGGAGTAAAGATTATTCTGAGATGCTGCAAGATACCCAATACTAGTGAAAAATGGCACAGTGGTATATGCTTTAGTGTCATTGTGTCTCTGGTTGTGGTCTGGACATTTTGGTTTTGTTCTCCGGAATAGGATGCTGAATTTACTGGTTTCTTTTAAATAGTGGAAGAGAGGTCTGGTGTCATTATTTTGGGCTTCCTTTGCAGAGCTCCTCCCCTGCTTTCCTGCCCAGTACTTGGTGACTCAGTGATACCAACGGTTCTGTAGGTTAGAAAATACTTATTGTACAAGTGATAGCAACAGTCGGTAAAGTGTGGAGATATTTGTTGCATAAGAAGGCAGTCTTTGGCCTTCCAGGTGTTGGACTGCAGCTTTTATCAAAATATCTTATTAGCCACACAAGCTGGGTTGATGGGTGTTATGGTTCAAAACATTTGGAGTATTATAGATTGCCCACCATCTTCTACACAGTATATGATATCCTCTGGTTTGTTAGAATGTAAGGCATGTTTTCCTTGAATAACAGGTGTTGTCGTGCTTGTATTTTCAAAGTCTGGTAATACATTATAGTTTCATAAGTTGAAGGGGATGGGAAAAATGTACCAGACAACTCCTTATTCTTTGGCAAATATCTATTACATGTCCAAATAGGGAGAATGTTATTTTGCATTTTACCACCCAAGAACTACAGTGAAGGTTGATCTAAATGTTTTAATCTTGTGATCACATAACAGTCCTATGAGTTTATTTTACAGATGAGTCATAGAGTCCAGGAGCATATCCCATGTCCCTTGATCATCAGAGAGATAGTTTTCTTGATTTTTTGCTGCAATCCTATACATGTTTATCCAGGAATGCATACTGTTGAACTCAATAAACTTCTGATGCGTAGATTACACTGTAAATGTGGCACTTCAGTTAAACTTCTAAAGTGCTGAGCCTGTTTTCTTTATGCCTCGATTTAAATGAAAATTGGACATATTGTAATCTATTTATAATTATTGGTTTTTGGATACTGAGAGATGTGAATCCATTTTCTTGTTGGGTTTAGTTCCAGGAAGTATGATGTGAGGTAATATTCATTTTTCTTCTACAGAGATTTTGCTGAAGCTGTGGTTTTCTCTGTGATAACTTTGGCCGGGTTGATGGAATTTAACATTAAAGTATGTGTGTTGATTCCAATAGTTTTGCCAAATATTAACTCAAATTAGTAAGTAGCTAACATAATGGAGTATGACAGAATAGGAGGTTGATAACTAATGATAGTGGAGTTGCTTGGTTGCTGGAATAAAGAATATTTCTCATTATTCACTGAACCTTTGTTGCTTAGTGTAGTAAGTTTCACTAGTGTAGGCCCATTATATCAATGGGGATTTGACTAGTCCAATCCTTTAATTAAAGTAGGCCCTTTTGAATCAGTGAAACCTATGGAAGAATTGACTCACCAAATCCCCACTGATTTGTTGGGCCTACCTAGGAAGATTTACTATGCTAATTCTGTTGCTTAGTGTAAGAAAATTTATAACATGCATTCTGTTCCTAGACAGCAAAATAAACAAACAAAACAACCCTCCCCCCCAAAAAAAAACCCCACTCTACGCCCGGATTTTTGGATATAGGTGCACCAATTATCCGAAGCTCTGTGTGGAGGCTCTGTCCCTTCTGCTCAAAGTTCCAGCCAGAAATGGAAGCAAATGGGTGGATACACTCACTCAGCTGTGTGCACCAGATGCAGTGGCACACTTTCATGTGGCCACATTGGCATTTCTGCATACCCCCAAGAATAGTGGTAGGGACTATTTCTCTAGTTGGGAGAAGACTGAATGTTACACATTTTCCTATGCTAAGCAACAGGATTTTGGCCATTATGTTAAACAGCCAATGGGGGGGGGAACATAAGTTTCCTCTTCCGGTTCTTTACTGTATATTCTTTGTGTTTTGATGTGCTGCATCAACTGGCCTTAAATATTGGCTAAGGATGGTTATTTTCTGGCTAGACCATGGGTAGGTAAGCTCACTGATGGTATGGCAGGAGGAACCTACTTTCCATGCTACTGTGCTTGACCTCTATCTGCCCTAGAGGAGTTCCTTTTCCAGTGGTCCTCAGGAAATTGTTTCTCTTGACTGTGAACATAATGCTATATATATGGTGGCACAGGGTCAACTGTTTCCTTCATCCAAGAATCAACAATTACTTTAGGTTAATTTATTTTGATGGGAGATAAATAAAGGATGCTCTTTTCTTTTGAGCCTAGGTGGCCTTGGTACTGTATATTCCTGATGTTCATACTGAGATCTCTGCTGGATATCTTACCAGTGATGGTCTGTGAAGTTCAAACAGTTATGAACTTTGAGTCTTCCTTGAAATTCTAGCTGCTACTTGTGGTGCTTTTTTTTAAAGTTCCTTATTGAATTGAGCTGGACATAACTTTTCTTCTTGGTTTAAAAAAGTTCAGGTTTTTTTTAAACTTACAGGTTGCCGTTTCAAGCTCTGTGTTTACATTTGAGTTTATGGAATCTAGGAGCATCTTTATTTCGTGTTGACTTTTTGATAGATGGCAGAGTGAAGGTTTTGTGTCCAGCACTAACACTACCCATTCTATTGATTTTTGTTTTTCTGAAAGGCCTTGCTTATAGTCATGAATTTTGTATTAAAATAACTTTGGAAGATCCCTCCCTATATAGCAGGATCTTCCAGAGTCTTAGATATTAGATTGTTTGGGTAAGGAGCAGAGTTTCTCAAGAGTAGGCTCCTTTTTCTGGAATTAAAATACTATTAATAGATCTGTTTTGTTTAACTGTCTTATTGTTGATAAGTCTGTGCCTGAAATCCAGTAGGAGGTTTAAAGTGGCCCATTGAATCAGTGAGGATTAGGTAAGTCAGCTGGTCCATAAGTTTTATTGATTTAACAAGCAAATTCCTACTTGATTTCAAGCTTTTTTTTTTAATGTTGTGAGTCACTTTAAGGACTTTTAAAAAGCCACTTCGCAGGATGAAAATGGGAGAGCAGAAGTGGTCTAAATTAAAAATAGGGAATCACTTTTATTCTTTCTCCCTCTCTATTTGTGGGTAACATTTAATCTGTTCTTTTTGGTGTTTTGCAGTGTTTCAGAGACTACTGTATTTTCATTTGTGCCTATTGCATCACAGTTCTGTGCCATAGTTTAACAGAATGTAAGAACAGATGTGCTGGGTCAGGTCAAAGACTTTTCTAGGCTAGAATTCTGTTCTTGCAGTGATCAACTAGATTCTTATGGAAAGGACAGAAGTAGCACATGAGTGAAAAAGCTACTTCCTGTGTTCTGTAGCAGTCTGTGTTTATAGGCATATAACCACTGTGACAAGTAGAATTATCCATTAATTGGTCTAGTTCCCTTTTAAAGCAGCTGGGACGGATGGCATCATTCATCCTGTTTTACTGGATGATTCCAGGCTCTAGTTTCTCTTTTCTGTATATATTACTCTACATTTGTCCCTCTGTTTTATTCATATTTTAGGTGACCCTCCAAAGCAATTTACATTTTAAAATTACAAAAAAATATGCATTAGTAAAAACTGTGTACTGAAATTGAAATTTTTTAAAAAGCAAGTTGTTTCCTTAAGTAGGCTGTGATGGCAGTTTTGGGAGGGGGAGATCCCTCTAGGCTTAGTGAGCAGTGATAACTCAGGTAGTCTTAATGAGATCAGTCTCCCTTGCAAAAAGAACACAGTTATTCTGCTTTTAAAGCATATTATGTGAAGAAGCAAGTTGAGTGTTTGCTTCATGGGCTAGAGGAGGTCTCAGGCTTTCAATTTACTTTTCCAACTGTTGTGTTCTTTAGCCAAAGATTGTAGCCAGTCTTCTTGCAAAACCTGCCCAACATTGTATCAAATGTTACAGAAAAGTGATTGTTTCTGTAATGAGGGGCTAATTTTTCACAACAGAACATAGAATGGAAGCAATCAACCTCTCTTATCAATAATATTCTACAAATTTCTCTAGCCTACTAGAACATATCTTTTATGCCCCCTTACCTTTGTTTTGGTTATTCCTATTGATCAAAGCTAGTCAGTTATTTCCATACTTTTATTATGTTCCATACTTTTATTCTGTTGCAAGCAGATGTTAGAGCTTGATTTTCTGGTTTTGAAGAAAGCTGTGGGTGCCGAGGTAATTACTTGGGTGGAGGCAGGATTGTGCTAGCCAAATATATGTAATCCTTTGGTTGTGATGAACTTATGATGACATATATTTGTTATGCTTGCAGAGATCTGAAAGGTACGAGGCAGTAATAGATACTGAGTTATTTCCATTCCATCCAGAACATTAACTTCGGGTGTACCTAAATCAGAAGGAAACAAATTAGGCAGGCCTCATATTTCAGATGGGCTAATAATCTGAAGAGAAAGAATGGAGACCTTGGCAATGGCTGCCAAATGACTGGAGATATTTTTTTCCTACCTCCCTTTTATGTGAAAGCTCCTTCAAAGTTTTGTTAAAACCTGTGTAGTTTTATGTATTTTTTTTTCAAATATTCCTATTGCTCAGAATTTAGTTTGCAGTACCTATCTGACATTTATGAATAAATGGATAAAGGTAACATATATAGGCAGGCAGGCAGAGAAAAAGCTGAAGTGCCTTTGCTAGTACTAGCTATACTGGCGAC